TTCTTATATTGGCGCAAGGCTTCCCAAAACACAAAATAATCTTTAAAACTTTGATTTTCTGTTAAAGAAAACAAAGCATTATGGTCAACAGAACCTTAATTAGGAAAAGATTTTTTTTTTTGACACAGAGTCTCACTGCGTTGCCTGGGCTCACAGCAAACTCAAACTCCTAGGCTCAAGCGATTCTCCTGCCTCAGCCTCCAAGTAGCTGGGACTACAGGCACGCGCCACCATGCCTGGCTAATGATTATATATATATATATTTTTTAATTGTCCAGCTAATTTCTTTCTTTTTTTTTTTTTTTAGTAGAGATGGGGTCTTGCACTTGCTCAGGCTGGTCTCAAACTCCTGAGCTCAAGCAATCCTCCCGAACAATAAATACGTAAAATTTTGGCTTTTCATTTAGTTAACCTGAACAGTATTTCAAAAATAGCTATCAAGGACAACAAATATGTTGACTAAAAAGGCCTGCCTGATATCTTCTTGAAGATTATGCTGAGAGATATTATGTAGTGTTCAGTAGGGGGAAAGGGTAGTGTGATTGATTAGTGATGTCTGTCATAGGCATGATAATGGAAGTGTATAGGACATTAGACATGTTTTTGTCTTCTTGAGCTGCCTTTTTTTTTTTTTGAGACTGAGTCTCACTTTGTTGCCCAGGCTAGAGTGAGTGCTGTGGTGTCAGCTTAGCTCACAGCAACCTCAAACTCCTGGGCTCAAGCAATCCTGCGCTCAGCTCACAAGTAGCTGGGACTACAGGCATCGTGCCCACCATGCCGGCTTAATTTTTCTATATAGGTGACAGAGAGGCTGACAGAACTGGTGCTTGAGGACACATGGTCCAATTAATCTTTCTAGTCATAATGTACGTTGAGTCATTCAAGTTGGAATCTTAGACTCTATTGCTCAGCGGCAGATTTGAACTTGACACATATGTTATACAGAACATCTCCATTTGTTAATCGAGCAATTAATCTGCCCGTCCCAGTCTTCTATACTAGACGTGACATACGGAATTTTACAGGCGAGAGACACCAAGTGCGCGCCCAGCCAACTGCCTTTGGTATTTAAACAATACTTCGGTTTAGACAGGGAGTCGGGACGCTGAGTCTGTTGATGTTCCAGCTACGGGTGTATTGCGCAGTCAACGTTTTGCTATATCACATGAACAACCCTAAACTGCTGAGGCTCTAAGGGATCCGTCCCCACTGAGCCTCAGTAACATGGACTTAAGATACTGAATGGAATACATCAGGCCACCACACTTGACGGGTAAACCCGGAAAGTTGTTTAGTCTATGCCATTTTCTAATTAGGTAAGAGAGGAGGACATCTGCCTCTAAGGCGAAGTATCTTAAAACATCAAGACCCAAGTGAAAGCTAGAGTTAGAAATACACCTCTGCCTCTCTATACGATCAATTTACGTGGTTCATGACTACATAGTTGCTAGGAATGTTACAGGCATGACCCTTGATTTATAAGAAGATATACAACAAAGATATATACAGCCGGAGCTCTTGAGTGCCACAATGTCGGAGTATAATTTAACAAATGATCATAAGAGTTACTAGTCAAATATATTATAAGCTTGTCTAAAATAGTCAGAAAGAAGGTGTACATAAATATCCAGTTACGTGTCTTATTAAAAAATTTTAACAAAGAAATGTCATCCTAGATGTCCACCTAACACGCAGTGCTGGAGAACCATGGTGTGCCAGCCCTCAACGAAATCCATAGCTTATAGCATCTGAAAAGCTCCCGCTCTTAAAAGCAAGAGATCCATCTTTCTTGCTTACTGTGAATGTGATATACTAGAATGGTAGAGCACCAGATGGCTTGGCTAATTATTATTTTTTTGGTTACATCAACATTGAAGAAAGAGCACACGTGTTCATGGAGAAATGCCTTGAGGAGATAAGTCAGTTGACAGTTTCACATTTGTTTGCCTAGGCTAGAGTGAGTGCCCTGGCGTCAGCCTAGCTCACAGCAACCTCAAACTCCTGGGCTCAAGCAATCCTGCCTCAGCCTCCAGAGTAGCTGGACTACTCTGAGCAATCCGCCGCCTCGGCTCCCAGAGAGCTAGGATTACAGCGTGAGCACCGCGCCCGGCCATTTTTTTTTTTGAGACAGA